CATTGCTACACGTACAGAAACTTTAGACATGATTTTACCCAATGTTGTTAAAATCGAGACCTTAAGTAAAATCGAAAAGGGATTAAAAAATCGTAAAACGTAAAATCGTAATGTAAAAAAATCATAAAAACGTAAAAGCGTTTGGAATATTAGTAAAATCATTTTGATGAAAAAAAATTGTAAAAGCCTAAAATCGGAATGATAAATCGAGATTTTAACAACAATAATTTTACCTACATATGTGTGTGTGTGTGTGTGAAATCATTTCTCGTTGCTGGACGTCCAACAATAAACCTTACATCGTTGATTGATTTTGATTCTCCCAATTTAATGTTTTCACCCACCTTGTATGATTATGATTCTCCGAATTTATCTGTTGGACGTCAAGTGGCTTGAGAAACGATCCCCGAGTTAATAAGTTTGATTCTCAATAAATAATAACCGTTGTGTTATGGATATATATCATATCCTAACTACCTACCTAAGAGATCATCAAAGGATAAAGATTCAATTATCCTAACAATATTAAACAACAAAGATACTCAGGATATAATCCTTATCTCAACAGAAAGAATGCTGAATCCTACTGCAATTGGAAGATCTACACAAACCCTAGAGGTAACCCTTATAAATAAGAGGCTAAAGACCTCAGGTATACACTTTTTGACCTATTTACTAATTACTGCCAACACTGTGCACACACCCACGTCTCGGCTATAAGCCTATTGCTTGTGCGCAGTGATTAGGATACTGGCTATAAGCCAATTACGGCACCTACCTCTAAGGTATCTCTGAGCGCATACCATTCGGTATAGCAATATGATCTTCTAGGACCTAACATTGGCGCAGCCTGTGGGGAAAGATAAATTTCGATTCCCATCCCACGATGACGAACACTCGTTCAACGTCTAGCAATGCTCAACCCCAACCGCCGCCGTACCAATCTGCGTTAGGATATCTCCAATCAACCGCAACTCCAGTTTTGGTGGATGTCCAGGTCGGAGAGGTCGGTACAGAAGTGTCGTCCTTCATGACCCAGTCCAACCCGGCAGTGGAATCTTCATGCTCGCCTCCGCATAATGATCAGCCCATAAATGAGGGTCATGTAGTCAATACTGCCATGAACGCAATCCTTCAAATGATGCAAGAGATGGAGAACAAGTTCCTGGCTCAACAAAGGTTGAATGCCCAGAGGATAGAGGCATTGGAAGCTGAGTTGCGAAATCAAAACACTGAAGGCCGAGGTGGAGGAGCAGGCCAAGCTGAAACTAGCGAGCCGGAACATCAAAACCAGGCTGTGACGACTGAGAATGTCTGAAATCCTCGCAACACAAACCAACAGGAAGGCGGAGGACATGGCAAAAATCAAGGAGAGAACTATCTCCATAATGAAGAGGTTAATGATAGTCATTCCACTAAGAGGCTCATGAACTTGGCAATTCCGTCGAGATTCGAAAGTGCCAAAATACCCCCTATCATGGAAGTCAGGACCCAGACGCCCATCTGGAGGCGTTCAAGACTGAGATGTTGTTTAACGGGATAACTGGACCTATTAAGACCAGAATCTTTGCTACGACCTTAACAGATCAGGCGATGGCATGGATAACCAGGCTTCCCAGGAACTCAATTGATTCATTTGAGGATCTAGCTTGGACTTTTCGGTTGAACTTCGCTACAAGTAAAGCGCACCCCATGCCGACCTATGCTTTAGGGAGAATTCGGCAGAAGAAGAATGAACCACTAAGGAAGTAACTCGATCGATTCAAGGATGTTGCCCTCAAGGTTCAAAACTTAACTGAACCGGTCCACTTGCATTTAATCATTTCAGGATTAGATGATGATTCTCCACTCGCAAAATCCATCTATAAGAACCCGATCAACTATCTAGAGAAATTTCGACGAAGGTCGGATAAATACATCGACGTTGAGGATATGCAAAAGGCTTATGGTGACTCCCGGGGGTGAAGCCCGAATCGCCGAAGTCCAAGTAAGAAAAACAAAGATAGAGATCAGCGAGGGCCAAAGAAAGGATCTGACTCTCATGACAAGAGGTCGGACGAACGATATCTGAGGACCAGATACGACAACTACACACCATTAAATAACCGTTAAATATGTCCAGATCTCGGATATAGAAGGAAGTGGCTCAAACCGAGAGGCGCAACGTCGAAAGGCCTCGACCCCTTAAAAGCAAGGGTGGCTTGGACAAAAACAAGTTTTGTGCTTTTCACGATCAGAATGGCCACACCACGGATGACTGTTGGGATCTTCGAGATGCCATTGAGAAGAATATAAGAGAAGGAAAGCTGAAGCAATACATCATCCGAACTCAGGGCAAGAAAAATGGCAAGCGAAGGCAGAGAAGCCGGAGCAGGAGTCATAGCCCGAAGAGGGAGGAAAGGAAAGATCGTGAACAAGACCGCCCTCATATGGGCAAGAAGGTCGAAAATAAAGAGGAGAAGTTCCAAGAGGATGAATTTGAATGCAATGTGATAAGCGGAGCCTTCAGTGGAGGAGGTGACATTGTAAATGCCAGGAGAAAATACCTAAAGGAAGTCATGTCGGTTAGAGACAGATTGACCTTCAAAGGAAAAGCCAATAATCCTGCTCCCCCAAGGCTGTTCTTTAGTGAAGTCGACCTAGAAATGGTCGTACCCGGACATACTGATGGTTTGGTAATTACCGGGGTGCTAGTTAACTGCCGCGTTAAAAGGATCTTCCTCGATCATGGAAGCTCAGCTGACATTCTTTTTTTGGACGCTTTTCAGAGGATGAATTTAGATGAGCAAGATTTGTAACCGTGCATCACCGAGCTGATTGGCATTAATGGAGAACCATCTCCTCCAAAGGGCTACATAGACTTGAAGCTGACTTTAGGAACAAAGGAGGCATTTCGAGCTAGCAGAGTTTGATTTATAGTAATGGATCCACCATCCTCCTACAATGTGATTATTGGTTGGCCTACGATCCATGAGTGGGACATCTTAGTCTCCACTAAACATCAAACACTAAAGATGGTGGGATCAAAGAATAAGGTCATCACCATAAGAGGAGATCAGAAGGAATCTAGAGAATGTTATTATAAGACGTTAAGGATTATCCATGGAGGGCCATCATCTCCTCCTAGAATTAAAAATGGAGGTAAAGCCTCCATCAGAGACCAAAAGGTATACCCATGTGGGAACCAAGTAAATTTGGTCGAGTTAGACATGAGGGAGGAGCTACAAGCACCTCGTCCAGAACCCCAAGGTGAGTTGGAAAATGTCGATATTGGGGAGGACGACAAACGTCATATCAAGGTCGGAAAAGGCCTAGACACCGAGGTAAAAAAGACACTAATCTCATTCCTCAATGAGAATTCTGATGTGTTTGCATGGAAAGCATCGGAAATTCCGGGGATAGACCCAACCTTTTACTTTCACAAGCTTTCCATGTACCCCGGGTCAAAATCAGTATCCTAAAAGAAGAGGAAAATGGGCCCTGACCGACGTCAGGCTTTAAACGAGCATGTGGACGAGCTATTAGAAGCTGGCTTCATCAGAGAAATACAATATAACACATGGCTCTCCAACGTAGTGATGGTAAAGAAACTTAGTGGGAAGTGGAGACTTTGTGTAGACTACACCGACCTCAATAAGGTCTGCCCAAAGGATTCATATCCCATGCCTAGCATAGATCAGCTAGTTGATAATTCATCAGGATTTCAGCTACTATCGTTCATGGATGCGTACTCCGGGTATAATCACATCCCATTACATCCAGATGACCATGAGAAGATTGTATTCATCTCGGAGAAGGGAAACTTTTGCTAATATGTCATGCCTTTCGGCCTCAAGAATGCCGGGGCGACCTACCAGAGGATGATGAACCGTGTCTTCCAGAATCAAATTGGAAGGAACCTGGAGGTGTACATAGATGACATGATCATCAAATCCATGCACATAGCTACACATGTAGCCAACCTAAAGGAGACCTTCGAACAATTGAGAGCTCGTAGAATCCGATTGAACCCAGCCATGTGCGCTTTCGGGGTACCTGCTGGGAATTTCTTGGGCTTCATGCTCACCAACAGGGGAATTGAAGTTAACCCTGACAAATGCAAGGTTGTCTTGGAAATGAAAGAACCACAAAACAAAAAAGAAATCCAGCAGGTCACAGGTCGCCTGGCGGCCTTAACTAGGTTTTTGCCAAGATCGGCAGAAAAATCCCTGCCTTTCTTCAAGCTCCTAAAAAAGGAGGCAGAATTTGGATGGTGGAAAGATTTCAAAAGGGCATTTGAAGAAATAAACAAGTGCCTAGCAACCCCACCTGTGTTGTCAAAGCCAGAGCCCAGAGAGACGTTGATCCTATATCTTTCTGTAGGAGAAGAGGCTATTAGTGCTGCCCTAGTAAGGGAGAAAGTCAAGGGACAACAACCGGTATACTTTATAGGGCGAACTTTGCAGGGACCTAAGTTTTGGTATCAAAAGCTTGAAAAGGTGGCATTGGCCTTGCTTACCACGGTAAGAAGGATCCGACCTTACTTTCAAGGACATCCAATGGTTGTGAGAACCAACCAGCCTATCAGACAAGTGCTACATAAGTCGGATTTAGCTGGGAGGATGATCAATTGGGCCGTCGAACTCTCAGAGTTTGACATGTCATATGAACCTCAGCAAGCAATCAAGTCTTAGGCACTGACTGACTTCGTGTTGGAACTTACTTTCTTTAAAAGAAAGGAGAAAGAGAATGAGGACCTCTGGACAATATATGTCGACGGATCCTCAAACTCCAAGGGAAGCGGAGTCGGAGTAATTATAGAGAGCCTGGATGGAGTGTCCATTGAACACTCACTCCACCTTGAATTTTTTACCTCTAATAACCAGGCCGAATATGAGGCTTTCATCGCGGGAATCGTACAGGCGAAGGAGCACGAAGCGAGAAGGATAAAAATTCTCAATGACTCGTAATTGGTGACCTCGCAAGTCAAAGGAAAGTATCAAGCCAAGGGGCCCCTCATGATGAAATATCTCCAACAGGTTAAGAAACTGTTGGCTGAGTTCGAAGAGGCGGTGATCCACTACATACCCCGAAATGAGAATAGTAGGGCGGACATCCTGTCAAAGCTCGCCAGTTCGAAGGGAGCAGGAAATCATCGAACGGTGATACAACAGACCATCCCAGAGCTGACTTGCGTGATGGTCATAACTGAGAGTGAGGACTGGAGAAGGCCAATAGTGGTCTACCTCGAGAAAGGAATTCTTCCTGACGAGGTCCAGGAAGCCAGAAAACTCGTGAGGAACTCGGCTTGTTACACCATAGTAGAAGGGAAGCTCTAACAAAAGGGCTTCTATACACCTATGCTTAAATGCCTAAACAAAAATGAGGCTGAATACGCCTTGACCGAGATCCATGAAGGCATTAATGGGCATCACATGGGAGGAAAAACTCTAGCTAGGAAGGCACTCAGGGCAGGATATTATTGGCCTACTATGAAAGCAGATGCGAAGGAGCATGTCAAAAGATGCCAACAATGTCAAAAGTACGCACTTATCATCCATGCACCTCCTGAGGAGCTGCAAACCATCATTGCACCTTGGCCATTCTATAAGTGGGGGATGGACCTGTTATGGCCCTTCACTGCAGCTGAAGACAACTCAAATGGTTGATAGTAGCAGTGGACTACTTCACCAAATGGATTGAGGCCGAACCACTCACCACTCGCTACCATAACCTCGGCCAGGATTCAAAGGTTCTTCGAAAGAAACCTGATAAGCCAATTTAGATGTCTAGCCGAGATCATCGCTGACAACGGAACACAGTTCGCTGATAAGAAGTTTCAAGAGTTAATGGCCGACTTCAAAATCAAACATCAGTTCGCATCAGTGGAGCACCCTCAGACAAACGGACAAGTTGAGTCAGCTAATAAAGTGGTCATCAACGACCTCAAGAAAAGGCTATTTGATGCTAAAGGAAATTGGGTACAACAATTACATCTCGTCTTATGGGGATACCGAACAAGTGCCCAATCTGCTACAAAAGAAACCCCCTTCAAGCTGACATATGGATGTGAGGCCATGATCCCAGTTGAGATCGGAGAGCCATCCTGGAGGAGGTGCAAAGGTTGCAAGGAACTGAGGAGCAGAATAGCGAGGCATTGGCTGTAGAGCTTGACCTACTGGATGAGAGTAGGGAGAATGCCAGATATAGAAATATGATGGCAAAGCGCCTGGTGATGACTAGGTTCAATAAGAAGGTCAGACCTCAGTCATTCCAGAACGGTGATTTGGTACTGCGAAGAGTGGACATCGATAACAAAAATGTCAAAGATGGAAAGCTCGCCGCAAATTGGGAAGACCCTTACAGAGTTAAGGAAAACTTGGGAAGAGGAGCCTATACATTGGAAACCATTTCTAAGAAACCTGTCAAAAGAACTTGGAACGCGGACAAGCTCAAGGCTTACTACAGCTAGACCCAAAGTCTGACTTCCAAGAAATTGTGAATAGATTCTTATTATATGCAAATAAGACGAGCTTCTATGCTCAGTCACTAGATAGACTTTATTTCTACGCAAATAAGACGAGCTTCTAAGCTCAGTCAGTAGGTAGATTTATTTCTAAGCAAATAAGACGAGCTTCTAAGCTCAGTCATGTAAATAGATCTCAGTTAAATGCAAATAACATGAGCCTCGACCTCAATATGTACGCATATCGATTTCTTTTCAAATAATAAAGGCCTTCGAGCTTAACGATCTAAAAAGGAATATTTTTTGTTGACGAACAAAACTTATTCTAAAAAGTGGTCGAAACAATCTTGTACCTCAGCATTTATAAGTCGGAGTGCGATAAAACGAGATCGGAAGTGAACCCCATGATATGATTAAACGGATAGTGAATCGAAGCAACGATCTCGGAAATATAAATGACAATAAATTGCAAGTCAAAAAGCTGAATTAAAACGGCAAAGGTGTTCATACGAGTTTAGAATGGGGGCCACACCCCCCAAAATACAATTACATCATTAAAGTCAGCATACCGACCCCTTCATTCGGCTTCGGCTTCGTCCTCCTCAGGGGACTCAGAACCTGGAGTCTCAGGAACAATAAAGTCGTCCTTCACGCCATACGAAATATCCATCGAGGCAAGGGTTCAGGACCTGGGCTTGAGCAATGACATTGGCAAAGGAGTCGGTGGCAACATTCACGATCATAGCTCGAGCCTCATCAAAGTCGACTTGCAACTTCTGGATCTGAACGTCCTTCTCGGTCAAAGACCCAGAAAGGGCCTCCTTCTCCACCCTCAAATCATTTGCTCTAGCCTTATCCAACTCCGAAGCCTTCTTCACTTTAGCTAGCTCAGAAGATAATTCCTGAACCTTCATCTCCAGCTCAGACTTGGACTTGCTGAGCTCATCATGTTTCCCCAAAAGCTCTTCCACCTTAATGATGAGAGATGAGTTGGAAGCAGTTGACAGGTCGAGCCTTTGATGAAGATCTTGGAAGGATTGGAGCAAGGAAGCCGCCTTCAAAGCATCTTCTTCCAGCCGAACTAGCATAGACCTCAGGTTGGAAGTCAAGGGAGAACCACCCATAAGCTGTTGAGGGGGCTTCATAGCAACTCTGAGTCGATCTGAAACTCTGACTTTCCATAGTTCCCCAAGTTCCAGGACAACCATGTCCCCTTGAGGAACAGTGAGAAGAGGTGGAAGTGGAGATGATGGAGGAGTGAAACGAGGAGCAGAAACCTCAGTTAAAATTACCTCTTTGCCTACCGCAGAGCTGCTACCAGCTACGACATTAAGTCATCGTTTCTTCGAGGTCTCAACCCCGAAAGAGGAGTCATCTTTGGCTTTCCCTTTGGAAGAAGTCTTCTTGGGCTTCGGCAGGAATTTCTTGTAATCTGAGCTCGTCATGCTAACTGTAAAGAAGAGACAAAAATCAGAATATGAGTTATAAGATATACCAAAATAAGCCTCTAAGGGAAATCACATACCGAGCTCGCAAAGGAGATCTTCTTCAAATTTATCTACAATTTGACTTAAATCGATAATGCCAAATTCATCGGCATAATCAATCAAGACGGAAGCCGCTAATCTCTCATAATCGAAAAAAGCTACTGTCGGAGTGGCATAATCCCTAGGACGCCTTCGATAATGCCTTTGTGTCCAGTAAAGCTCAAAACAACAAGACAAATCCCCATGGTCCAGCCATTTCTCGGCAAACCAAGGAAGAGAATCATAACGAGATGCCACTTTAAAATAGGCATCCTTGAAACCTTTAAAGGATTGGGAGTAGGGAATAAAAATACCCCAGTTGGGAGCACCTCGAAGGGTAACCCAACCTTTCCTTTCTTTAGCCTCGGCGCCGGTCCGGGCTGTATATACATCAAATAAAAAGAAAAATAGATTAACTGTGCAAGGAAGACAGAGGTATGCACACACTTGCTCAAAACCTTGGATGAAAGCCCATGAATTAGGGTGAAGTTGTGAGGGAGCAATCCGAAGTCGGCGAATCACGGTATATTGAAATTCAGAAAAGAGGAACCGAAGTCCTACCTTGGTAATTAAATCTCGATAAAAATAGAAGAAATGAGGTTCGTTCTCATCAGGACCCGCACATATCGGGTAATCACCGGTGGGGATGATATCAACTCCAGTGGGGTCTCCAACAGGAAGTTAGGATACCTCGGCAGGAGACATGGTTGACCTTTTGTTGAGAATTTCGAGAAGAACCCAGTTCTGGACGTCAGATTCCTCCATAACTACAGCCCTGGAACATGAAGGATGAAGGTCAGTATAAAAATCAACTAAATCTAACCTTGGACTACCGGGGTCGGATGGCAATGAGCATGGGCTCCAATAAAAAGGTAAAGAACTGTCAAAACTACTAACAAGATCAATAAACAACATTTGACATGAAGTCGAATCATTGAATAGGGTAGAAAGGGCTTTAGACATCAGAAAACCTAATCCAGACGAAGAACTAGAAGAGCTATCAGTGAGGCTAAGGGGAGGGATCCGATCTAAAATGGATCTCGGACCTGGAATAACCTGAGATGAGGGCAAAATGTAAGATAAGGGAATTGGATCACGATGGGAGCTTGACCTAGGAGGAACAGCGAGGTTCGAGACCGGAGAAGGTCCACCCCTACCAAAATTAAGCTGGGTTTGGTGTTCCCTACCTCCTCTCTGACCTCTCCCTCTCCTGCCACGCCCACCTCGAGAATTCCGACGACCTCCTCGATGGCTTCGAAGAAGCTGCTGAAGCTTCTCCTCCTCGGTGTACTCCTTACCATAAAACCAGTATTGAACGGCTCAAGGTAATCGTTTCACCATTTCTTCATTAATCTCCTTTCCATCACCTCACCCAACAGCCGAGCCAGAAGATGGACCAGGGGCATCCATAGTCAGCCCCAGAAGAGAAGAACTTTAAAATACTCAGGGGAATACGATGAAGGGGCGAAAACCAAGGTCCCTCCCCAATAGAAAACAGAGAAATAGAAAAATACTGAAAAGACTTACAACGCTACTCAAACCAACGACAAAAGGAGAAAAGGGGAGAGAAAATACCTGTTACAAGAAAGGAAGAAGGAATAGACAAACTGAGAAACCTCCAATGACCTTCGCAGCGAATAAAGACGAAGAAGTTAAAAGACACAGAAGAAAACACCAAAAACAAAAGCAAAGTGAAACCCTGCAAGTGAGACGAAGTGGAGAATTTAAAGTAAACTTTTGCTTCAGGCGCGAATACGAAAGGTTTACAAACGGTTAAGAAATTAAGGGCAAGGAAGTAAAATCACCCTTCCCACGCTTTCAATATGCGCAATTATGACCAACGGCGCACTGTCCACGATGCACGAACCTTCAATGGGCATGAAACAGTGGAGCTCTTAACCGTCAGGAATAAGCAAAGGGCCACATTGATAAGACAAGGGTCAGACACGGCCTTATTCGTGACATGATGTCCAAGAACTACATCGCGGCCAAATATGATAAAGGAGACCTCGGTAGAAATAACGCGAGGAAAAACTTTTCATGTCAAATCCATTACCCAACTGACATCTTCAATGTCGGAGTCACACCTCAATCAACATAACTCTGGAGGAGCAAAAATAATTGAGCTCGGCCAGATCGAGTCCAAGACAATACTTCAACACCCCGGCACTCCGAACTTCGCAATACCGAGCTGAGGGGCCACTGTTATGGATATATATCATATCCTAACTACCTACCTAAGAGATCATCAAAGGATAAAGATTCAACTATCCTAACAATATTAAACAACAAAGATACTCAGGATAGAATCCTTATCTCAACAGAAAGGAAGCTGAATCCTACTGCA